GGGGAAGATGAGCAAACGATATTGAGGGCTAAAGTAGAGGGCAAATGTTGTGAGATTGATGAGGGCAACAGGTGTACATATGGGCTTGACTCAATGGATGTATATATGGACTGTGATAAGAATTATACGAGCCCTCAATAAAATAAATTAAAAAAAAAGAATAATGAGGGTAACAAATGTACAAATGTGCTTTATACAGTTGATCTATGTATGGATTGTGATGAGTTGTATGAGCCCCCAATAAAATGACTTTTAAAAAAACCCAAAACATTGACTTGTTCTCTGTCTACCTGTCTCTTTGTCTTGGATCATTTGCCCTAGAGAAAATCAGCTGCTATGTCATAAAACAGCCCTGTGACAAGGGGTGGAGACCTACCTTGTGAGTGAGTTTGGAAGCAGATTCCTCTAACCCCAGTCTGACCTTCAGATGAGACCATACCTTTGTCAAGAATTTGAATGCAACCTCATGAACCAGAGACATCCCATTAAGCCACATCCAAATTCCTAACCACCCCCAAACTGTGAGATAAATAATAATTTGTTCTAACGCACTAAATTTTGGGGTAATTTGTTGTGCTCTAATAGATAATTAACACAAGAAGTTATACAGTTGGGACACATTTTTCTTGGTAATCCAAGGCAAATGCTGGAGTAATTCCTAGCCTGGGGAAAGAGAACTTAATAAGAATAAAGATAGACTTCAGCACTAAATATGTGTTCATTCATACTACGGTAGATTGCTATTTATGTATTTATTTGCCTTTAAACAAATACCTCTAAGGTGGTTGTGGCTGTGGGGCTGGAGGAGAGTCCCTCACATGAAAAGTAAGGGGATATGAGTGCTCTGCTTTAAAAATGTGAAAGGTGGCTATGTGGGAACATAAGTATCCTTGACAATGTGACCCTGAAGGGGATAGCAAGAAGCAATGCCTACACACCCGCCTGTGCTATCACGAGGTGTCGAAGGGATCAGGTATAAGGCATCATCAGAACAAAAATCTTACCATAGTGAATGATGGGGGGAGTGCAGAGTGGAGACCCTAAGCCCATTAGTAGGCCACTGGAGATCCCCTTGCAGAGGGGTCTTGGGGAGGAGACGAGCCAGTCAGGGTGCGATGTAGCAATGATGAAAAATACAACTTTCTTCTAGTTCCTAAATGCTTCCTACCCCCACCCCCACTCCCACCCCACTATCATGATCCGAATTCTACCTTGCAAGTCTGGCTAGACCAGAGGTACAGATGGGAACTGGAAACACAGGGAATCCAGAGCGGATGAGCCCTACAGGACCAGTGGTGTGAGTGGTGATACTGGGAGTGTAGAGGGAGAGTGGGTTGGAAAGGGGGAACCGATTACAAGGATCTACATGTGACCTCCTCCCTGGGGGACGGACAACAGAAAAGTGGGTGAAGGGAGACGTCGGACAGGGCAAGATATGACAAAATAATAATTTATAAATTATCAAGGGCTCGTGAGGGAGGGGGGAGCGGAGAGGGGAAAAAAATGAGGACCTGACACCAGGGGCTTAAGTGGAGAGCAAATGTTTTGAGAATGATGAGGGCAATGAATGTACAAATGTGCTTTATACAATTGATGTATGTATGGATTGTGATAAGAGTCGTATGAGCCCCTAATAAAATGATTTAAATAAATAAGTTATAAACTAAAAAAAATCTGTAAAGAAGGATTGACTGGGGAGGGATGGCTGACCCCTGCCTGGTGGCACTAAGGAAGCCAGAGAAGATCAGATATGTCCACCTCCGCTACTGTTTAATGCTTTGTATACTGTTTCCCAAGAACAATTTTTCAATTTAATGCAATTACAGAAGGTAATTCCAATAGGATTTTAGATGATATTTGATAGTTCATTTACTATCATCTGGGAAAAATTAACTGCCTGTGGATGGATATATATGAAAAGCTTTTTCAGTACAGAAAGATCTTTGTCTAACTCCGCTTTGTTAACTACTTTGTAATTCTTGTTTGCTTTAGATGACTTGGTAGGTTAAAATCACAGAGGATTATTAAAAATTATAATGGTCTACTTTGGTCCTCTGCTGATTCCTCATATATCTCATAGATTTTTTTCATATATATTTGACTCTATGATGTATGTAGCACATAAAGGTTAATTACTTGTTGTGAATTTTATCATTTTACAAACAAGACTTTTATGTATTCTATTTAATGATTTCTTACATTGCTGGAATAAAACATTTTAATACAAAACAAACAAACAAAAAAAGAAGCAAGGCCTAGAAGTTAGAGACAAGAAGGTCCAGCTCCGTGACATTTTTCTGCCAAGTCTTGTGGCTCTGAAATCAGACAAGGAACACAAAAAAAACCATATGTCAACTCCTTGGCTCTTTAAAAGTTACTCTTACGTGTGAAGGTTGTCTGCAATTAATCAAAAACGCTACTGTCTGCGTATGGTGAAGTTCTGGGTGATGTTAGGTCATTATTTATTAGAATTGTTTTATATGCCATTGCATGAACTAAATATATAGTAAAAGTATGCTGCGTACTTTGTATTCATGGACCATGTCCTGGTGCATTAGCTGTGTCTAAGGCTGCCCATCTTCTCCCTTCACAGAGAAAAGTCTGATGAACCCAGGAAACACTCTTTCTTCAAAACTATCAACTTTCCTCGCCTGGAAGCCAGCCTTCTTGAACCCCCATTTGTGCCAGACCCGTTTGTGGTTTATGCCAGAGAGGTCGCTGACATTGAAGTTTTTTTCTGAGATTTGGGGAGTGGAATTTGATGAGAAAGATAAGAAGTTCTTTCAAAAATTTGCAACAGGTGCTGTCCCCATCCCGTGGCAGGAAGAAATCATAGACACGGGACTGTTTGATGAACTCAATGACCCCAACAGGCCCACAGGTTGTGAGGAGTGTAATTCATCCGAGTCTGGAGTGTGTTTGTTATTGTAAACTGTACTCTCTCCCCGATGTTCCAAAAATGTGAGCCATCTGATGAAGGAAGCAGTCAGCCAGGAGAACCATTTCCATCAGAGTAGTTCAGAACAGGCGAGCTCACCACTAGGACACGGTTTCTCTTTTCCTTCAGCCCTTTTTAATGCATCCAGGTAGCGTCTCAGTTTTCACTGAGGCCTGGGGAAAGGGCCCCTGAGGTTTGTTTTGGGAAGCTAAAAGCATGATCCCGCCACCATCGCATCCCTGCGAATTACGCAAAGTCCTAGGAACAGAGTGGAACTTTGTGGTGTACTCAGAAAATGAGCATTTGCAATTCTTAGTAAATAATCATTTTAGTTTTTCTTTGTTTATATCTTTTCTTCCCGTCATCTTCCAGCCTGTTTCTGGTTCTTTACTTATAAAGAGATGTTTGAAGCTGTAAATACTGCCGCTGATGTGCATCTCATAAAGAAGTGAATGGAAATATTTTGACATTTCAGATTACAGAATAACTTTCTGACTCACTGACAGGCCTATTTTTTTCTTAAAATAACAATTCTTGTAATGTTAAATTACTTTCAATGTAAATCTCCATGAGATGAATAAAAAATGTTCTGCCAGTTAAAGTCCTGTGCATAATATGCTACAAACTGCCTCCACCCAGAATTCTACGTGCTAATTGTCCCGAGCCTTCGGTGTACATTAGGGCTCTTCAGTGTCGGGGTTACTTTGTGCTGCCGTAACAACAACAACAAACAACAACAACACCAGTGAATCACTGTAAAGAGCAGGAATGTATTTCTCATTGTTCCTGAGGCTACAAGTCCAAATTCAGGGCATCAGCAAAACTAGGCTCTTCCTCTCTGTCCATCAACAGAGCACAAGGGAGAACACTTGTGCTTCTTTCAGCTTCTGTAACCCCAGTTCCTTGGCTAGTTATAAATAATATCTTCACATCTGGGTTTCTCTCAAGCATATTTCTGTGTCCGTTCTGCCTGTTTGTATAAACTGCCACTCAGACAGGAGTACACTCTACTCAGGTTCATTAACATAACAAGAAAATACGCATTCACAGGTCCAGGGACTAGGACTTTAACATATCTTTTGGGTGGGGGGCACACAATTCACTCCATGACACCTAAAGATGGTTAACAAATAATCACACCTGCCTCCCATCCCCAGACATTCTGATTTCCTCGGTCTGGAATGTGGCATGGCTGTTTAGGGTTTTAAAGGTTACCCAGTTGATTCTAAATACAGTAGAGTTTGGGAGATACTTCCATATATTTGTATGCTATTACATCTTAACAAACAAAAAATCTCACTGCCATCAAGTCGATGTGAAATCATTGTGATGCTTTAAGACAGGATAGAAGTGCCCCTGTGAGCTTCCAAGACTGTACTCTTTACAAGAATAGAAAGTCCTCATAAATTTATACAGTAGCTTTTCAACATCAAAACAAAACATCTATTTATTATCAGTTGCACACTCAGAACCAAACTGCTATTAAATCAGCTCTGACTCATAGAGATCTCGTAGGACAGAGTACGACTGTCCCTTTGTGCTTCTGAGACTTCCATGTCATTAGAGTAGCAGAAACCTCTTCTTTCTCTCAAGGAGCAGCTAATGGGCTGGAACTGCTGACCTTGTGGTTAGCAGCACAATGCATAACCTATTTCACCACCAGGAAGACAAATTTGTATCGATCTTATAGATTGGCTGGTACTCATAAAGCTTAGTTTCTTACACAGCTCTTAGAACAGCAGTTCTCAACCTATGGGTCGCAACTCCTTTGGGGGTCAAACAACCCTTTCACAGGGGTTGCCAGATTCAGAACAGTTGTAAAATTACAGTTATGAAGTAGCAACAAAAATAATTTTATGGTTGGGGGTTGCCACAACATGAGGAACTATATTAAAGGGTCGCAGTATTAGGAAGGTTGAGAATCACTGTCTTAGAAGGTAAATCTCTTAGATATGTAAATGTCTGAAAGAGAACCATGTGTGGTAATTACACAACTTCATGTCAACTTGATAAATAAGAATGAAGGGGTGGAGGCTAGCCTGTCAATCAGGTCACAGCATGGTGATACCCTTCTTGTGGGTGTGGCCTTCTCATGAGGATTCTGGGCCTTCCTTTCCTCCTCCCTGGAGGTGGGACACACTTTCATTCTGCTACACATGCCTGTTGACAAGCCACATCATAGAGCCACACTGATGGCAGCCAGAGCCCTGGAGCTACATCCACTGCCTTTAGACCCACAAGACTTTCCACCCACCAGCCTGTGATCTTCCTGCATTCAGCATCATTACATGTGCTGCATGAGTCTGAAAAGGAACTCATGGGCTAATATTGAACTGATGGGCCAATATAGAACTTACAGACTTGATCTGGACTGGGCAGGGATGTTTTATTGATGCATAATTACTTCTTGATATAAAGTTCTTTCTTACATATATATATAAATGTCAATGAATTTGTTTTTCTAGTCAACCCAGTCTAACACATTGTGGTACCTTGGGAGTGGGGTACTAGAGAAAGAAATCATGAAGATGGAGAGTATATGCTTGTCTGACCTCTATTTCAGGGTAATTTTTCTTCTTTGGCTAGTCAAGCTCAGATATGGCCATGCAGCTTACTGGGTTGTTTTCTGGAAAGAATATGGCAAGTTAAAGACTTGTTTATTTTGTTTGGTTGTTGTGTTTTGTTATTCCTTTTTGAAATATTGAAAATTAATGAGATTAATGTATATTTTTAGCTCAGGAGGTGAAATCACCCCTTGAATTTCTCAGAGGCCATCCTACTTAGTGAAAATGGCAGACCGAGCCCTCCCTGGTCTGATGCAGTCAGAGGTCTAATCCTATAGCTCAGATCACTGTGATAGTTAACATAACAATTAAGATAAGATAGCTATGGATTTAACTTGACTGTTTCAAGAATTGAGTTTAGGATCTAGGTTTATAATGATTTCTTCTGCCTATTGTTATTGATAAAATGATTGATAGACATTATTACTGGAAGTATAAATAGCGAGTTTGTAAGCTCATTATTTCAGCCAACAATTTGCATTTTTAAATAAGCTAGGACTCACCTGCATAGAATGCTCTGAAAATTAAGCTCCACACAGTGCTTTGGAGTCCTCAGGACATTTGCTTTGAAAGGGACTTGCCTGGGGGGCTGTTAACAGACTGAAGGAAAAAGAACCGTTTGGCTTTTTAAATTTTGAACCAGTGGTTTGTGCCTGAGGCTGGAAAAATTTGGAGTCCTGAAGGAACTCTCTTCTCTAGGACTGAACATTAAAGGGAGCCTGTGAGCAGGCTGAAATGCTTGCTAGGTGACCACCTGGATCCACTTGTTGAGTAGAAGTGAGAGAAACACATCAATACAGAGGCAGGTTGATTCTGGCCACTGACACCCATGGACCTGGTTCACAGGGACTAGAGGAGAAGACGAAAGTGGGTTGGCTGGTCTGAAGTTCATGACAAGGGGGTTATGGTTGTTGAGAATTTGTGATGGGGCATATGGCCAAACAGCAAGGTGGCCAATGGGCACCGTGGTGAGGCTAAGTGAGGTGACCCACATTGAGTTGACCAGAACCTGACCAGATGAAGAGATTTTTGAGCCTGTGAATTGGTGCATATTGTTGCTGACTTTACGGACAGCCGATCTTGATCTGACTTTGCTTATGGATGTGGACTCACAATGTTCCAACTGGAATGAAGATTCTTCACATCAAAAATTAGGATTGTCTCTTCAGATCACTGAGTTGATGTAAGTGGGCAGTATAAAAATTAGATACCAAAAATGGGGAGGATAAAGGAATAAAGAGGCTGGCTTTCAAATTTTCATAGGTGGAGGAATATATTCATAGGGTTATAGGATTAAGGTGTAGGTGTTCACTGAACTACAATTGTTGGGCATAGAATATTGCTGTTCTTTTCACGTAAACAATATTGCTGTTCTTTTCACGTAAAGAATATTAAGTTTAAATGAGGCTGGCACATACTGAATTGTTTGCATTTTAGTTTTATCCCGTTAGGCACAAATGTGATTTTACTATTGTCTTTGTTTTAATTTACATAATTCTAATAGTAAATATTCTAGGATTCAATTAGATGAATGTTAAGACTTTTAAAATTATGTCTTATAAGAAAGACCATCAGTACCAATCTTACAGAAAACATGTAATTAAGAGAGAGAGAGAAACCCTAGAGGTGTAATGGGAAACCCACAGCACAGTTCTATTCTGTCCTGTAGAGTCGGAACTGACAGGATGACAGTGAGTTTGTTGACATACATACGCACATACACAAATACATACATACATACTATGAACAATTATAAGCCAACACATTAATAACTTATTTGAAATGGACAAATCCTTAAAAAGCCAAAGTACCAAAACTAACTCCAGACAAAATAGACCTATATCAATGAAGAAACTGAATTAATTATCAAAAAAACTACTCAAAAGAAAAGTCCAGACCCAGATAGTGTGAACAATGAATTCTACCAAACATTTGAAGAAAACTTAGTACCACTTTTTCCCAGACTTCCAAAAATAGAAGAGGGAACATTTACCAACTTATTTGATGGGGGCCATTATTACCTTAATAACAAAATCAAGCCAAGATGTCAAAACAGAATCTAGAGTTCAATATCTCTTATGGATAGGAACAAGAAAATTCTAAACAAAATGCTAGTATATAAAATCCAACATATACAAAGAATTATACACACTGAACAAACAAGATTTGTTTTTTAATGAAAGACTGGTTCAGCATCCAAATATGAACTAGTATTGCAAATATTAACTAGTAATATTTTAAATACAGCATAGCAATAGAATTAAAAACTAATATCACATGATCATCTCAACAATGCCAAAAAAGCATTTGATAAAATCCAACACCATATCATGATACAAACAGTCAACACTAGAAATAGAAGGGAACTTCCTCAACCTGAAAAATGACATCTTCAAAAAACCCACAACTAACATCATAATTTGTGGTGA